TCAAGCATCATTTCATGAGTAAGGAGGGAACCGATTAGCTCTTCAAGAGTTAATGACTTTAGGTTCTTAGCCTCGATGATTGCAGTCTTCTTGGATTGCCATGATTTTGAAGTGAGTAAACTAACTTCCTCACAAGCTTTTCGTTTGGAATGATCTCTCCATATGATTTGAGACCATTGACAATCGTTGAGAATCTATCCGTCATAGCTTTGATATCTTCATTTGGTTTCATCTTGAAATTTTCATAGCTATGTGTTAGAAGACTAATTTTAGATTCTTTTACCTCGTCGGTGCCTTCATGAGTGACTTGTAGTTTATCCTATATTTCTTTGGCGGTTGTACAAGATTAAACTCTTCCAAATTCATCTGGTCCAAGAGCACAAAATATGATATGGATTGCTTTGGAGTTGAGCTGGAACATTCTTGTCTCTCCTTCACTCCACAATCTTGGATGAGTGAGAGGCTTGATATATCCGTCTTCTACAACATTCCATGCTTATATGTCACTTGCTTGAATGAAATACATCATCCTATTCTTTCAATAGGCATAGTTATCTCCATTGAAGAAAAGAGGTTTGTTGACGGGCATCAAATCGAGACCGGAGTCGACATTTGAAGTAGAGGTCATTGATGACTTGACAATCGATGTAATGCTTTCCGAATCGACTCAAGAGGTGATTAAACCTTCAAATGAGTGAGGCTCTGATACCAATTATTGAGTTAAGCGATCCACGGAATCGGCCAAGAGGGGTGAGTTGGCAATTAAAATTTTGGTGGAAGCTTTTGTAGAAAATTGAAAGTAATTGCACAGTGATTTAGAGTGGTTGACTTTTTCAATCAAAGTCTACGTCCACTACCTTAGCTATCCACACTAAGGATTTTTCAACAAATTCACTAATATGTTCTTTCTTTTGAGGCCAAAGAGATAACCTTATAACTCCCTCAAGAATATACCCCAATTTTTTAGAACACTCTTTCTCAAAGAGAAGATTACAAATTTGCAAACTTATAAGGAAATCCTCACAAGGTAGAATGTTTGCACAATTCTAGAACAAAGAAAAGAACACTAAAAAATGAATACAATTGAGTACAAGTAGTGTTCTTGAAAGCAAAATGAATATTGAATGAAAAATAGGCTTGAAATGCTCAAACTTGAGGTTTGATGCTTTCTCTTTGATTCTCTCTTGATTCTAGTTGATTGTTGTTTCTTGTTATTGATCAATGACTTCTAAGCTTGTTTAAATACATCTTCAAATGATTCTGAACGTTGGGGATGCTTAGTGGAGTCAATAGAGCAGTTTAAGTGTGAAAACAATTAATAAATTCAGTTGGGAGCGTCAGTGCATCGATGCATACCCATGGTACATCGGTGCATCAGTGTAAAATTCAAATATTTTGACCGTTGGACCCTTAGTGCATCGGTGCACTAAGAGTGCATCGATGCATCAAGTGCATTCGATGTTTCAAAATAGTCAGAGTGCATCGATGCATGAAATGCATTCGATGTTTTCATAAAATCCTCAGTGCATCGATGCATGGTATGTGCATCGATGCATGAAATGCATTCGATGTTCAATTTAATTCATGATGCATCGATGCATGGATTGGTGCATCAATCTGAAAAATTGATTTTAGGCTTGATTTTGGTTCAAAATACTTTGTGAAAATTGTTTCAAAAATATATTAAGTATAAAACACAATTTACACATTTAGTAAGGTTTGAATTTGAACTTGAAAGACTTGAAGTAATAATTTGATATTCGATTAATTAAATCTAATATACTTAGAAAATCATTTGTAAAATCTTAAAATTCATTTAAACTTAATTTGTTATATCGAAACACAAAAATGTTTTCAATATTGTGGCTACTCCTTATAGAGCCAAAGGTAGTACAAGTACATTGTTAACCTTTGGTGGATACATTGTATCCAAAATAAAAAGAAAATAAATCTGCGACAAATCATCTTTGGTGAGATAGTAGAAACCGTGAACAATGTTCCCTCCAAATATGTAGAAACGTTAGTTTACGGTTGTCTTCTTAGTAATTTGTTTATCAAATCCAATCTAAGGGTCCAGCTTGATGTAGCCATCCCTCTAAAGAACCAAATAAATTTCACAACCTTGAAGAAATAGGATGGTCTGAGTACAAGGATCAATGGGTTCGATCCACCGAGAAAACACCGGGTGCTAGCTCTTCACAAGCTCCACCAGCAACAGACGATGATCCAGAGCTTGAACAACTTATGTGAGATATTGATGATCACGTACCCGATATCGAGCCGGCACAGCAAGAAAGTCCAATACCTCCATATTTTTAATCGTTTATGGAGACATTCGACTTGAGGTTTACATCCATAGAGTCCCAAATAACAGCTATGGAGGCTCGACAATTGGAAATTTTGTGGGAGATGCGCGCGAACAACGAAACAACAAACGAACGAATCAATGCACTCACACTCGAGATGACTGCTCTACGAGCACAATTTCCTCCCGATCCATCGATGGATGATTAGACCTACCCTTGCTTTAGTTTTCTTGGATTGAACTTAGGACTTATTGTTAAAACATTTTGGATGTTTTTGGATTTGTTATGGATGTTTGGATGATTGAAATTGGTTGTTTATATATTTGGTTTTGATTGTTTGAATATGGTTTGATTTGAATAATAAATTTAAGCTTAATGTTTATATTTCTTTCATTATTTTGTGCATCATTTTAGAAATATTATGACCAATTTACCATTACACATTGATTATGAATATTTTTTATGAACAAATGGCTAACATTTCTCTTGATTGTAATCTTAGCATCTTAAGCTATATCTATAACTATTTAAATCAATTGGCTATCTTCTTAAAAATCTCGTTTAAAAACGTTTTATAGTCTTTTTGAGTTAACAAAAAAGGAGGAGAATAAAGTAAGGGGAGTAATTTTCCAAATTGATTTCAAAAATAATTTTCAAAGAAAGTCTTAAAATTACTTAAATGTTTTGTTATATCAAAAAGGGGGAGATTGTTGAAAACATTTTGATGTTTCGATATAACAAATAAATTCCTATTGAATTTTAAGATTTTATATTGATTTCAAAATAAATATTCGAGTAAATTATTCGAATATCAAATATTACACCAAGTTTTTCCAAGGTCAATTTTGATCCTTACTTAAGTGTAAAATTGTGTTTTAGTCTTAAAATATTTTTGAAACAATTTTTACAAAGTATTTCGAACTATAATCGGGCCAAAAATAATTTTTACAAAGGGATGTACCAATACACTCTTGAATATATCGATACACACCAACATCGAATGCGTTTTTATGTACCGATACACAGTTGATGCATCGATACACTCCTGGCTTCGAGAAACATCGAATGTAATTAGTGTACCGATACACTTGAGATGTGCCGATACACTAGGTTAACTAACAGTCGAAATATAGGAATTTTACACTGAGTGTACCGATACACTTGATAGTGTATCGATACACCTACGCTCCTAACAGATTTTTTAAGTGGAAAACATACAACAACGGCTCTATTGACTTCACCAATGACCCCCAACGTTCAGAAGTGATCCAAGGTGTATTTAAACAAGCTCAAAAGCCATTGATAAAAAACAAGAAACAAGAATTGAGAGAGAATCAAATAGAAAGCCTTGAACTTATCGTTTGAGCATTTTCAAGCCTATTTCCTTTCAATATTCATTTTGCTTTCAAGAACACCATTTGTGCTCAATTGTATTCATCTTTGAGTGTTCTTTCTTTGTTCTAGAATTGAGCAAACATCTTGCCTTGTGAGGTTTTTTTGTAAGTTTGTAAAATTTGTATTCTTCTCTTTAGGAGAGAGCGTTCTCAAGAATTTGGGGTATAATTCTTGAGGGAGTTGTAAGGTTACTCTTTGTCCTCAAAAGAAAGAACAAATTAGTGAATTTGTTGGAAAATCCTTAGTGTGGATAGCTAAGGTAGTGGACGTAGACTTTGGTTGAGAAAGTCGAACCACTCTAAATCGTTGTGCAAATATTTTCAATTTTCTGCAAAGGCTTCCACCGAAATTTGTATTGCCAATTCACCTCCTCTTGGCCGATTCGTCGATCGATTATCTCAACATTTTGTCGATTGGTTATCGGAATCACTTGGGGTCGCGATTTGTAGCGTCGGGGTTCGTTGGAGTACACGTGTTGATTAACTGTCGACTGGCTTCTATTCCGATGGCTTTTCATGGGGTTATCAATCGTTGGGTGGAGGTTCATCGATGATAAAGGGCGACGGTCGGTGTGGGTTTAGGGGTTAAAATTCGGGTTTTCAAAGTTTATGGTTTTCTTTTAAAGTTCTTCAAAAAATTTTGGTTTTTTTAAACATAATAATATTTTAAATAAAAATTTTAAAATTACTAGAATACGACACGTGTCCTTTAATAGAAGAATTTAATGGCCGTTATGGTTGAGGCACCTAAAGTGGTAACGTTTGTAACATTTGACACCTGGATGAATAAAAAAATTGGACACCTATTTAAAAAAATATATAATTCGATCGCTTATTTTCTAATTAAGCTTATTAAAAATTGTGGCACACGAAAATTTGCGATATAAGAGTATAAAATAAGTCTCAGTATTACTTATTGTATAATATCATGTAAATTAATTAATGTAAAATTACGTATTATATATATATAATTAAAAATTATAATAAAATTTATCGATCCAATTTTAATTCGATGGATATGATTATTAATTCAATATTTAAAATGACGCTAATTTAAAATCACATAAACACCTTTTGTCTTTTTAATTTAGGAGTTCGGGTAATTTAAACACATTTATGTAATTTTTTTGCTTCATGTCTCATATTTATTAAATGATTAGGGATGGATGGATGTAGAAATTTAAGTTAGGGGTACGAATTTAAAAAGTTATATTAAAAGTTTTAGGGGATACGATAAATCTTCGGTCTATCCTGGATAAAGAAGATAGATGTTTAAAATGGTAATACAGCTTGGATCATAAGGTTATCAATAATTACAAACTAATATATTTACTATATAACATTTCATAAGAATAATTAATATCTGGATTTACACATAAACATCACACGAATGAATTCTTTTCGTAAGTAATCTAAATTCTGTAACAGCAGTAAGTTCCAGAAGCTTTCAGCCAACAGAGGTTGATTTTATTTGAAGCCGCTTTGCAATCTCTGTTTTTCGGAGTCTCCTTTCCTCGGATAACAGTTTCGCGAATCTGCACACAAAAGAACTCTGTATGATAAACTATAGTTTTTCTGACTTAAGTTTTAAGCAAATACTCTCTTTTTTTTTCTTGGGTGAACTATATATTTAGTTACTCATTTATTTATGCAGTTTCATATTTTCTGACATAACTTTTTATATTTTAGTAATGCTGACATGTCACCGTAAGTTAATGTTATATCAGCACGTTACCATGCCAGCAGTTCTATTTATTTTTTAACGATATGTGACCAAAACAAAACAAAACCGGAACGTTAGGCATGATTTTGAAGAAAAAAATAATTGGGTGATCAGAACAGAATTGCGAGAATAGATGTATGACTAAACATGTAGTTAGCCTTGTTTTTAAAAGATAAAGGACCTTGAGAGAGCTTCTTCATTGGTTCCTTCATCGTGAACAGATTCGAAAATCCCAGTGTCAAGATTCATTTTTTGTGCAATAGCTTTTCACCAATCTCCACAAGGTTCCTCATGTTCTTTTTAGTAGCTTTATCAGTTGATGATGCATCCCCACTTAAGTTATCATCCTACGAAAGGAACACATTCCAAGTTCAAAACATGTTGTTCCAAACTGTGTTTTGTGATTAAAAAAAAGGTACCTGAATCCGAAGGTAGTTTTTCTCAGATTTAATTGAGCTGAAAATCATTGACATATGAAGATCAACTGTAACCATCCGGAAATTTGAAAATATTATTTAAATGAAATTTGAGGTTTTCATTTTGTAAATTGGTAAATTTTGAGGACTAAATTGAAAATTTTTAAAATTTGTAACTTGTTTTAGAGTTAAAGAAAATTCAAAGATCAAGCCCTGAATTTACTCCTGAAGTGTCGACAGGCTCTGGTTATTTAGACGTGCAATTGGTTTATGCAGAAACCAATTGCTCAAATTTCTTCTTTTTTTTCACATAACTTCCAAACCCGATTCCGAGGCCATCCGACCTCCGATCGTCGTTTTGAAACCACCATCGTGTTCGTCATCGAGCGAGGAACAAACACCTTAAATTAATTGAAGTGAAACACTGCCAAACGCCGTGAATTTCAAGTCAAAATCTCGACTTTTTTAGCTCAATTGCCGAGAAAATCTTAAATTCATCGCTGATCGTTGCTCCGTTTACGACACCTCCCGCACCATCGTGTTCCTTATGCCGTTCCGAGTTCGCCGGTGTCATCCTTGGTCTCCGTCGATGGCGGTGCGTGGGGAGGTGAAGCGGTCAAAGTTTCCGATTTGTTGAAATCGAGCTCTCCGCCATTCAAAAATTTGAACCGAGCTTTGTAAGTATCTCGAAATCGCTCAAAATAATTTTTAGAAATTTTTCTGTAAATTTTCCGACACTTATAGATGCCGCACGCGCCCCCACTGCTCGTGGGGAAGGCAAAAATAATCGGTTTGACCAGTTTTTAAAGGTTTTGACCAGTTCGACCCGACCCGACCGTTGACTCGACCCGTTGACCCTTGACGTTGACCGGTGCTATTTTAGTAATTAATTCGAAATAGGTACTATTTTAGTAATTAATTTAAAAAGGGTGTTATTTTTGTAAAATGGTTGACAGTTTGTTGACCTCCTTTGACCAAAACTTTGACCGACTTTGACCGGGTATTAAACGACCGTTAATCTTTTCCGAGAATACCTATCCTGACATTTTTTTACGTTTCGAATCTGTTTTTGGGGTCCGTTTCACCAAATTCGAATCTGAAAGTCTCCAAATCGTCAGTCAAACCCGTTGACTTTGATTTTGACCATGAATTCAGAATTTTAGAAGGTCATACTTTATGTTTTTCGACATTCTGAATCTGATTCCGAAGTCTGTTATGGCAAATTTTGACCCGAAATCCCTGAATCGATCATGTTAACCCAAAAGGCTTAGTATTTTAATATTTAATTATTTATTTGAGATTTGGTTAAGGAATTGATTCAATAAAATATTTTATAAAGGTACTCGTGTTTCACCTGAGTGAGGATCAGTTAGGTATGGAGTTGTTCGTTCGTCAGATCAGTCCGAACCGCGCACTACAAGAAATACCCGTAGGTTCCGTATATTATTTAAATAAAGATTAAGATTATTTATACTAGGATTCCAATATGGATTTTTTTTCTAATTCGTAGGATCTAGTGCTGCAACAGAGCGTGATCGAAAAACCCAGTACTATGCTTCCTTATCTTATTTCTCATGTTACAGGTGTGTTTTCCGACAGTGTTACATTAGTAATGTTTTAAAATATATATCTGAATATTGCATATCTGATATCTGATTTACTATATATTTCTGATATGATTTCTGGTTACGGTATTTTATACCGATTCTCTGAATATTGATTATCCGATATCTGAATTTCTGTATACTACTGATTTGTCTTTTGATTTTCGTATTTCTGTATATGATTTCCAAATATGAACACTTTTATGTTTTAAAGAATTAAGCATGGTTTTCATTCAAATACATTCATGAACATCTCTATCATTGGGGTGGTATTGTTGAAGGAAGTATATCCGCAGGTTCCTCGGCTTTGTGCTCAGGGCCTTATTTGTTGTGTGGGCTGGGTATATGGTTCTGGGGAACCTACACATTCTGTTGTGATGGGCTGGGGGTAGTGTTCATATTTTTAACGACATAATTGCATAAACTGATTTTACTGTAATATTTTTATCTGTATGTTTTTATATACACTGTATGGAGCACACTGGGCTTTTTAACTCATTCTGTAGTTTTTACCCTTTTTCAGATAACAGCAGATCGTAAACTATCAGATTTGGCATCAAGAGAGATCAACTACTTATTTTGTACGAACTTATATCTCTATATGTTTTTCAGTTATGTTTGGTGACATGTAATTGCTATCGTTTAGGATATATCTGTATTATTAACATTTTGTTCTGTATTATATCTAATGTATTATAAGATGTTTTAAAAAAATCTCTGAATGAGATATGTGACCACTTAGGTTTGGGTCTAAATTACAGACCGGGTCTGGGGGCTACATTTGGTGGTATCAGAGCTTTCGGTTTAAATACTCGGACTGTATATGAGTCCTAAATTTTGGATTTCTAAGAAATAAAAAAAATGTCACCTTATTTTATGATTTAAAAATTTTCTCGAGATCCCTGATGCTAATCTGACATATGTTTCAAATTCTTTCTATAGAGCCTTATAGATCCAACGATGAGTGCTGCTAGAGGTCGTAGGACAGGACGTAGACGTGGTCGAGGGCGAGTTGCTCGACTTTCTGTTACGATTGACGATCAGATGTCTCCACGTGATCCTCCTATTCCGCAAGTAGATCCGACCCTTTCTCATGATGACCAGTTTACTCCTGTGAGAGATCCTTCCGTCACTGGAGATGAGGATACTGACATGAACGAAGATGCCATTAATAGAGCTATATTCTGCATGTTTCAGAGAGCTGCCAGAGCCCCTAGTAATATGACTGCGATTGAGATTTCAAATTCTCTGGTTGCTGCTGGTGTAGTTCCATTCGAGGGTATTATTGGTGGACCTACGACAGACGCTGAGTATTGGCTAAAGGACACAGAGAGGATTATGGATGAGATGGACCTCAGACCTGAACAGAAGTTGAAGGGGGCCCTAACTATGTTGAAGAAAGAGAGCTTCATATGGTGGCAATCAATTTCTGGTAGTATTCTGAGAAACCAGTTAACATGGGATCTTTTCAAGACGCGCTTCCAGAGTCGCTACATCGGAGAGAGATACCTGCAGGAATGACGTTAGGAGTTTCAGAATCTGGAGCAGGGTAGCATGTCTGTTATGGACTACGAGGATGAGTTCATCCGATTGAGCCGTTATGCTCCTGGACTTGTTGACACTGAGACAGATCGATGCTTGAGGTTCGAGAATGAACTCAGGTATGAGATCAGGAGTCGAGTCGCTACCCACCAAGAGAGGAATTTTGATGCCTTGGTTAAGATAGCCAAGACTGCTGAGGAAATAGAGCGACTGGGTATGGAGCACAAGAGAGATAGTGATCGAGCTCAAACCTGATTCAGGAGGCCTTCTGGTTCTGTTGATTCTTCTGCATATCCTAGCAAGAGAGGCAGGGGTAAATCTTTTCAGAGAGGCGGTGCGAGTGCCATGCCTATAGCATCCGGTTCTTCAACTGTTTAGTCTTCTAGATCTGTTGATTCTTCCGGGTTACAGCCATATAATTATTGTGGAAAACCTCATCCTGGGGAATGCAGAAAAAACTTTGGTACATGTTTTAAATGTGGTTCTGGTGACCATTTTATAAGGGATTGTCCAGTATCAGTTACTACAGTTCAGACACTAGCTCGTATTCCTGCTCGTTCTCATAGTACAGTCCAGACTCCAGCATAGGGTCGTACTTAGGAGAGAGCACCTGGATCGGCCAGCATAGGCCGAGCATCTCAGAGTAGGGGTCCAGCCAGATCTGAGGCCATACAGCCTGCATTGGTTTACACTGCCAGACTTCGACAAGATCGTGATGGGCCTAATGTGACTGCAGGTACTTATACTATTCATTCAGTTCTCTACTTTGCATTGTTTGATAGTGGCTCTACCAATTCCTATGTATCGCATTCTATTTCTGAGTGTCTAAATATTCCTGTTAAGAATATTGAGCATTCGGTGATAGTTCAAAGTCCCTTAGGCAAGTCCATTATGTTGGATCATATTTTTAGACAGTGCCCTATAGAGATCAATGGGGAAATTTTTTCGGCTGACCTGATGGAGTTACCTTTGGAAGAGTTTGATTTGATTCTCGATGTAGATTGGTTGGACAAACATCGAGTAAATATTGATTTTGAGACCAAGAGAGTTGTTCTGAATACCCCAGATAATCGAAAAATTGTAATGATCGGGGAACGCCATGGATTTCTGACGAATGTTGTGTCTGCTTTGGTAGCTGAGAAGATGATCAGGAAAGGTTCCGAGGCGTTTCTTGCTTATATATTGGATACTAGGAGTTCTCAATCTGATATTGAAGGCATCCGGATTGTTAAGGAATTTCCCGATGTTTT